GGGTGCTATTTTTTCACAAGGCGAAGTTGGGAAAGACAAACCAATCGCGTACGCGTCTCGAACCCTAAATAAGGCCGAAGGTAATTATGCCACAATCGAAAAGGAACTTTTAGCTATCTTATTCGGTGTAAAGACCTTTCCTACCCTATTTATATGGTCGAAAATTCAAAATTGTAACGGATCATAAGCCTCTAGTTTGGCTTTTCAGCGTCAAAGATCCCGGATCGAGGCTTATCCGATGGAGACTCAAGCTAGAAGGATATAACTACGAGATAACATACAAACAGGGAAAATGAAATGCTAACGCAGACGCTCTCTCTCGCTTCCCTGTCAACACCTTAGAATCCAACGACCTCGATCTTAATCCTGACTCATGTAATTTGACACCCTCACAGTGCATCGACCCAACTCCTTCTATCTCGGAAACATATGAACAATTCCTGCAAATCAACAGACAGTCGAACGTATCATATGACACAACAATAATAGAACACAATGAGTCGCTACTTAAGGCGAAATGTAAACTAATTGCTTACCCAACGTCACTCGACCTAGATGATTCTGTCCCTTATTGTTTGGATATAATTACTTTATCCACAAGCGAACCTGATATTCGTAATATTTAATGTGAATTACACACATTCTGTAGAAGTGGGAAGATAGAAGGGAAAAGAATAAGAGGAAGATCAAGAATGGCATACGCCATTCTTTATACAGTGAACGCCATTCACTATACAGTGAACAAATAAAAAAAGGAGATCAAAGTGAACAGTTGTAAAGATGTCAAGGAACTGGCTATGAACAGTGAGCAGTGGAGAAGGTTATATCGACAGGAATCTGGTTCTTAAATAAGACGATGATGATGTGAAATTTTAGATTTTCTTAAGTAACGGTTACATTTTGGGAAACTGGCAAAGTTTTTAAATACAGTTTTAAATTCCTGCCATAAAATTATTTTTTTAAATGTGCCACAGATGTTTGATGTCGTCCTCAAATTACGGAGGCGCCCTTGCTTTTGTACAATTATAGTTAATATTTCGTTGTATAGACGATATTGGGTACATCCTGTGTGGCAATTGGGGCAGGATTCCAGACTATTTATAGCAGTGCGAGAAACGAAACATTCTCTTGATCATTTGTATGACATAATAATATAGGAAACGAGCCCTGTGGTGGGGTCGGGCTCGGCCTGCGGCGCGTGGTCGGTTTCAATTTACAAGGTGTGCTTATGCTCTTCGGTGGCACAGCAGTTAGTACTATGGGCGCTTGATGAGGAGGTCGATTCCCGATTTATGCCAATTTAAGAAACGAACATTTCTAAGTTGGTTTTGGTCTGAGTATTCTGGGTTATCGTTGATTTGGTATTCATAGTACCTACATAGTACAGGAAATTCGGCAGTAGTTATATTTTCCCCCTAAATATTTCTCTTTGGCATAGCTTTCGAGAAAATGAAATCTAACATAGAGACGGTTGAGGTACAACAATGCTATAATAAGTATCTCATTTCCACTACATCGGTAAGCATGCTTTACATTTTTATAATTGTGAGATCTTGTACTCGTAATCTATTACGTCTCCGTATATTATCTCCATTTGATAGCGTGCGGACGCTTCGGACTTAGCCCTCCGCGGACCTCGGGCTCGGCACTTATGGCTTTGTTTTGAAAAAATTGAAATAGCTCTTTTATGGCAAAAAATTGCAAAAATACATTTTGACCACTAATTATTATCAAACAATCTTAGAAATCTTTTCGTGTCAATTTTCAATCCGAGCAAAGCAAGTTTTTTCAATAGCAATTTATATTAAAAATTACGGCTATGTCGAAAAACGGCAGAAACAAAATTTTTACACCAAATTGTGATTGAAGCTATGCCATTCAGTAGAATTAAAAGAATTTTTATCTACCGCCAAAAAATTTTGTACGGCAGCCATATTGAAAAATGGCGAAAAAGAAATTTTGACCGCTAATTATTATTAATCATTCATAGAAACCCCGACATGCCCACTTTCAATCGAATTAGAGCAAATTTTTATCTGTCGCTAAAAAGTTTGTATGGCAGCCATATTGAAAACAGGCGAAAAATAAATTTTGACCGCAAATTATTATCAAACACCTATAGAGATCCCCACATATCGATTTTCACTTGAATTAAAGCTAATTTTTGTTAGTTACTGAATGGCGGCCATATTAAAAAATGGCGTAAAACCATTTTAGATCACAAATTATTATCAAGCTTTCCTAGAATTTTCAAAGTGATCAGAGCATTTTTTTTCTGCCGCCACCGAACGCTTCTGTGGCGGCCATATTTGAAAATGGCGAAAAGCCAATTTTTACCACAAATTATTATCCGGAACTTCTAAAGGCCTTAGCATGCCGATTTTCAGTCGAATCAGAGCAAGTCCGTTTCGGCAGTCACTCTTGACGAAAAAAGCGTTTATATGACAGCCATATTAAAAAATGGCGAAAAGAAACTTTTGACCCCAAATTATGCTTAAGGACTCCTAAAGACCCGCGCATTTTCAGCCGGATCGAAGCAAGTTTTTTCGGCCGCCATTTTGAATTCGCCATTTTGTTTTTTTAGACCCAGGCAGTTGACCACTATTAATCTCTATGACATTCCTTCGAGCACCTTCTACCTATCTCTATTAGTTTCCGTGATAGGAGACTTTGAAATTTGTATGGCGGCCATCTTATTTATTTGAATTTCGAACATTTTTTACTTCTGGCGGAAATTGACCAGGGTGTACTTCATAAAAGTGCACATGTATTCCCTCCATATATTAAAGTTTTTGCAGGCCGTTGATCACTCTTTCATAGTTCCCAAGGAGCACACTTTGTACGCCTTAAAACTGTTATCTGTATAAACAGTCTTAATATGGTATTGATTAAGATATAATAGTTCTCTATAAATGGTTTAAAAAAAAAGTTCTTATAGACTTATTTCACTCAAGTCAAACTTTTAACACTTTCTTAATACCAAACAATTTAATTAAGTGTAATCTCTCTTAAGATTTACTCTTATAGTCCTTATTTTAAGTTCATCTGTAGAACAACTGATTATTTTTAGTAAAATTGCTCTATACACATCCAGTAAAGTCTATTAATACTCTAAAAACTATATAGTGTTCTTAAGTTTATTCTAGATATATTTAATTTATAGACATTCTGTAGTATTTGTACTTATTGATAAACACGTTATAGCGCGTCTTCAGTAGATTTTAAGGTTGTAAGAGTTCATGCAAAATGGATAAAGTAAAGAATATTAAAAGATCTGGTGGAGGCGGCCATTTTGTTTTTCGAATTTTGAATTTTTTTACTCTCCGTAGAAACTGCTCAGGGTGTGGATAAACATTTGTTTGGAGACTTTGAGCCAAGACACATACTTTGGCCGGGCGGCTGGGGTCCTACCTGATGCGGAGCACTTTCCGAAGATTACCTTACCTTTTGATATTCACCAATCCCATCCGACTACTACTCCCCTACATTATTTTTACCCACTCGCACTCCTTCTGGGAGAAAAATGACGCCAAAAGGCAAAAAATTCACATGTATGGCGGCCATCTTGGAAAATGACGGAATCGAAATTTCGTATTATGGACTTCCATATACGGCCGCATGCCAAATTTCAGCCGGATCGGACCACCTTTTATTGGGGCCCCCATTTTGAATCGGCCATTTTGTAAAAAAAAATTCACCGGCAGTTGACCTCCGCCGCCCTCTATGACATTTGATCGAGCACCTCACACCCATCTCCGATACTCACCGAGTTATAGGGTTTCGAAGTTTGTATGGCGGCCATATGGTTTTTTCGAACTTTTATCATTTCCGGTAGAAACTGCCCAGAGTGGCGGCAATTTTTAGTTTGACGGCCCTGCCAGTAGGTGTTATACTTTAGCCGCGCAGCCGGGGTCCCACCTGATGCAGTCGACTTTTCGAAGATTTCGGATTTTTCTGGTACTCACCGCAGCCATCCGACCACGACTCCCATATATCATTATGACCCACCGCGACTCCTTCTGGAAGAACAATTATCTAAATGACTACATCAGTCAGTCAGTCAGTGCTAATCCAGCTATTTAAAGTATAATGTTTCCGAATGTTTTGTCATTACAATAAAATTTTATACAACTATTATTTTCCACTAACCTTTTGACAGTCACTGACAAACACTAGTTGGTTCCCTTGACGCCAAGCCTATATAACTGCCTCCGTGGCCGAACGGTTACCATGCGGGACTGCCACACAGGTCCCAGGTTCGATTACCGGGCCGGGAGAAATATTTGTATGGCCTACATTTATTTCTCTCGTGAATTAGGGTGCAATTTGTGGTTGTCTATGTGTGTGACCATGGCACCCGCGACACAGGGTTTTCCTAGTGCAGGGCTATGTTGAGTGTGTGCGTTATTATTTACATATTTATATTTGCTTTCTTCTTTTCAGCCTGTTAACTGGTTTGAAACGCATTTACGGACCGAAGTCAAGTAAATGCAGTATGGCGTGTATCTAGGAGTATGTGGTGGGTGTGCAATAAGATAATTATTATTATTGTATCTATTTTAGACTGTCGCCTCTCCCAAGGCCTAAAATATTAATTTTGAATATTTAAATGGGCGAGACGGTATTTCGCGGCAATGGCACAGTCTGCCGGAGTCAGGGACACAGCTTCTTCTTCTTCTTCTTCTTCTTCTTCGTCCTCCAGATAATGAGTAACTAAAACTCTCAAATATATTGTAAACTCATTTTATTGAATGAAAATGACACGCAAGTGTCTAACCTACTGTATATGTGAAAAAATCCCAGAGTGTCTAGGTGGAGGTATTTTCATTAGACCAACCTGATCAAGACGTTGGCATCAAGAAACATATTCAATTACAACTAAAAAACAAAGGCGTATGTCAGTCTGCGGGTCAGTCGTAATCAGAACAGGCCGATATTAAAAAGAGTGACGAAAATAGGGTAGGTACTATACTATGGCATCTCGTAAAAAAACAACACAATGATTGTCATTTTTGCAATAAGACCATTTTATTCGTTCGCGTCGATTGTATATTTTTGTATTTTTTTTATTTACAAAGCTTTCCGAGTCTTAAATCGGGCCCAATGACCTCCTTTTATGTAAATGCTGAGCGAGGCGGGGTCCAACTTCGCAGGTATGCTTGTTCTGTTCGACGGCGATATTTCGAAGGAATTTAGGAGCTGATACACCATTACTTTCACTTCGCAAAGGGCAAATCTTGAACCTGCAAAAGAAACACGAGTTATTTTATACCTGAAAACAATACGTGCAAGACTTAAATATCAGTGGATTTAAGGGTAACTCGAGCCATACGGGGAAAGTATAGTGAAGATGGAATTCATGACCAGCTGTGAGGTGTATATGAACTGTTTATGGTAATGAACGACGACGGGAGCAGTAATAGTTAGAAAAATACCCAGAAAATGGCTACACAAGCATGATGACCCGAATTCAAATCGTATTAGGAATCAAGTGCTATTAAGTTAGCCGCTCACGCGATATATGCAGCCGTAGACGCATACCACACCTAGAGGTGCCGGTGACGATTTTATACCGATTTATCGGATATCGAAGTTATAACAGGTAAAAGAACTCATTCGGTAACTACTCTAGCAAACCATAAAGTTTTTAATGCCTGGGTCTGTCATTAAAAAAAAATAAACAACTTCAAAAATACGTCACGACAATCGTGTGTGTTATTGTTTGGGCTGGTGATTACGGTGTTTATTTATTGAAAACATACCGTAAGTAGCGTTTTTTAAGTTTACCCTGAATATAAATGTTTATAATCTATACTTTAAGGAGTAATTTCATGGTAAACGTTAGAACCACTCAAACGGAATATTATCATATTTATCCAAGTACACCAAAAATTTCATTAGTGCTTTTTAAGTGCAGGATTTACGGTGTATTACTGCATTTTATTTGAGCTGTTTTTGTTTGTAGTACGGAGGGTATTTATTTACCAATGCAGAATAATAATTTTTATTTACAAAAACTTGTATTTAAACTGAATCCTTTTCTAATTTGCGAAACCAAATAGCCGCCATTTTGCGGTAGGAGGAGCGCATCACGTGAGCAGCTAATATATAAAAGGAAATGTAATGAATTTTCACGTCCGAGAAAGTTTATAAAAACTCTTTGAAGCGGCGTTCCTACTATACTTTACATCAGTATAGCCTAGGTGGTGACGACATACCATTGCGAAGAAGTACGTGTAAAAGTAAAATTATTCATAAATTATAATGATACCCGAGAAACCATTACACATGAAACATGCACAGTATTTGAAGAGCCTAGGAACAGTCTCAAATCGTGAAGTTAGGAGACACGACAAAATTCTCACCGATACAATTTCTGGGTCCAAGTCCAAACGGCATGTAAGTGAAGGGCTGGATCTTGTGTTTGTTCTCTTCAGAGAATCTCTCAGGGTCGAACTTGCCAGGTTTTGGGTGGTACTCAGGATTGTGATGGATCCCCCACACGTTGATCGCTAGTGCTTCGCCTTTGCGGATCTAATGAATAAAACAACAATGAAAATATAATTAGAAACAAAAATTTAAGGTCAGTTTATAGTCTTTGTTCCCATACACTACACGGCTTATTATTCTATTTAAGAATTTAAGTACTACGCTCTAGTTGGTGTAATGTAGTCCTCCATGCCCATAATCCATAATCAGAACCTTTAACCTTTTTATAGCTGCTGACTTAGACATTATTTTTAATGCTCACTGAATGCTATGTCAGTCTGTCAGTAATCTTGGTTTTCTACTCCGTCTCTTTCCTTTCATCTTTGCGTCAATTGTAATCTTTACTGATTCGTCATTCATTACTTAATAAATTTCCAAATGTTTTCCCACTTTTGTTTTCTACAATACTTCCCTTGTTCCTAACCGGTTTTAACAACATTTTCATTTATTATTTTGTAGGACTAACAATTATTTTCTCTGCATTCATCTTAGACATGAGTAAGTTTGACTTACAATGAAATCTTCAGTAGCTGCATCATTCGGTTTACCCAAGTTGTAGTCTTTGGTACAGTGTCTGTCCAGTAAGAAGCCCGACGGCCATAACCTCATTGTTTCTGAAATATGAAATAATATTCAGTTTAATGAACAACAAACACTCGATTACTTGTAGGTCACAAATCCGCAACAGTGGTGCATTCAGCGGGGCGTACATTGCGCGCAAACGCGTGTCTTGTATTGGATGCACCGTTCCAATATTGCGACCTTAGTTATTTTTTATTCCCTCGAGGTTTTACATCTCAGCATTCTTATCATTAAGACAAACAACTTTTGTGCTATGGCTCTCAGGACTTCACCAATTTTATTGTAACAAGTTGTTATGACAAGTCGACAATTTTCTTTTTGTAAGTGTAATAAAACTTCTTTATAACCTACCTGATACCACCATGTCCATATAAACCATATTCTGTATAGAATTATAGTCAAATTTCCCGTTGTTTTTGGCCTCGTTCTCTTTGATTTCCTTGTACAATTTCTCTTGCACGTCAGGATTGATAGCCAGCTCGTGTAGCAGGAACGCCATCATAGTAGATACGGTCTCAAAGCCAGCCACGAAGAATAGGGTAGCTTGGGCGCACAGTTCGTCGTCCGACCATACTAGAGAAAATAATGATAAATAATTAAAAAAAAGCGTTCAAAGTTCATTCATTTTTATCCACTCTTGTAAACTATTGCTAGAGTTACTTACTCTCTAGCGAATATTATGATATTTTTATTTTATTGAATATCATGTATTTATTTGATTTTTTTGTGAAATCACTCCACTAGTTTGTTATAATTATTAATACAAAGAGCAAACACAAAGAAAGTCCTTCAATCTGACAGGACTAGAACCTGCGAATATTGGTTTTTATTGTGTATCATAATATTACAATAGGTATATACATCGAGATCATCTCATGTCAGACACTGGTAGCTGTTAAGGTATCGACTGAGTGAGAAGCTTTACAGATCTCTCACAGGTGTTGCTTACGGCGATAAAAGCCTAAAAAGATTGGGCTACCTCAACTCCTAAAGTCTAATCTTAAAACATGGACAAGTTTGCATGTGACTTCGTATAGTATATTTATATAATTACGCGTATAGTGTGTAAGTGCAGACAATGTTAGAAATATAATTATCTGTAATCTGTCCTTTCGAATAATAATAATAATAAAGCACTCACTAGGGAAAGCCGGTGCCATGGACACACACATAGGCAACCATAAATTACACCCAAACTCACGAGATAAATAAATGTAGGCCATACAAATATTTCTCCCGGCCCGGGAATCGAACTTGGTAACTCTGCGTGGTATTACGGCATGATAACCGTTCGGCCACGGAGGCAGTTAAAGGAAGCAGTGAATAAGTTACATACAAATAAATCTTGATTTATTATAATAATAATAATGTTAAGGCTTAATTTACATTGCCGCGGAAGGGAATGGAACCCTATTTCTACTTTGTGGCTCGTATTTATTATAGATGCATAGTTAATTGACATACAGTTGCTTCCATTCCGTTTCGCAGTACTGTAAATAAAATTGAACCTAATGATCGGTGTAATTCAGAACCAATTGTATATTATACAAGGTAATAAAGGAGTCCTGTAACAAATGTATGCACATAGACTACAGTGATTTAAAAACTACCTAACGTCAGATTCCGTTCTGGTAACATTGTTCCAAATTAGTTCTTTTGACAGTACTTTCTCCCACTGACTGCAGTATCTGTTTCAAGTCAATAAACAGCGCTACCATTTATTAATTACAAATTTTCTTTTACGATTTAACATACCCCTGTTCACTTCTTTCTGGCCAACCGATGATTCTTCCACGGTGGCGAAGCCGGCGCTCAAGTCTTGGCTTGATTTCTCTTCATGGGCCAGTTTCCCTGCAAAGGTAAAAAAAATGTGTACATAGAGTACAATGTAAATTGTATCTTAGATCATTTACATAGTGTTCCAATTTAAAATATACAGGGTTATTTGTAAATAATAACAACTTCATAGAACTACGCATTATTATTAATATCGTAAAGAACCACTTTTGTTCCATCCTTTTATTAATTCATCAGGCTTTAGTTTTACACAAAAATAAATATATTTAAATAGATCGCTTTAAACGTAATAACTGTGTAGAACGGCACTGAGAATCGTCGCGAAGGTGGAGGACACTCACACATTTGAACCTATCTTACTACCAAATAGAGATCTGAGGGTCGTATTCTAGAACTCTACTCAATGCTCAAGTCAGGATTGCACTGGAAACACAAGCACTGGAAATACGACTCTAATGGCATGGACTTGAGTATGATTTCGAGTGCTTTAAACCATATTCAAGTCTGCTCAAATCCTGACTTGAGTATTGAGTAGAGTTCTGGAATACGACCCTAAGAAGTGTCAGATAGTACAACAAAAATGGAAAAGTTTATTTTTGGTATGTTCATCACATTTTGTAAAAAGTCTTGGAATAAGAGTTGTTGTTTATAATATGGTCCTAATATGCTATGTTGTTAGTACTTAATTTGATGTATGCTTACGTGTATTTGCAGTATCAAAAAACATTGAGGAACTTTAGTTTGACAGCATATTTTTTTAAAGTTTTCTTAAGTTCTATCGAGTTCTTAAGTTTTCGCGATTGTTACACATAAGAAAGGAAACTATTTTTCGAATTCTATTTTTTCGGCAGGACTTGAGCAGACTTGAGTATGATTTCAAGCACTGAAAATACGACCCTAATTTCTTGAAATTACTTGAGTATGATTTTCAGGGCTCACTGCAATACTCAAGTCCTAACTTGAGTATTGAGTAGAGTTCTGGAATACGACCCCAAGTCGCGTATAGTTGTTTTTTTTTTCAAACAAATCAACGTTTCAGACTCTTCATAAATCTCATAGGGCTGGCTGAATCAGCCAGCTGGTTCTCGAGTCTCATGGTATACAATGATTTGATTAATAAACTTTACAATAAGCATATCACGAATTCTTACAATAGCTTTTTTTTTTTCATTTAATTTTTAATATTATTTTTATTAAAACATAAGTGTGCATTTGACTTCCATCTCACCTGATCGAAAATAACCATGAAGTCGACGATGGAGATTGGACACCACCTAAATAATGCCTACCGTTTAGGGAATAAGTCTGCAGGCAGGGAATTCCACTCCATAGCCGTTGGCCATATAAATGTGAAAGCGTAACGCTTTGTGCGAATCCTTGGAATATGTATCCACAACATAGGGGTGGAACATTAGCCAACGTCTGGTCCCCGATGATGGAAAGGAGAATGCAGAATTAAATCGTGCAATTTTCTCGCATACTCACCGTGATATATCCTGTAGAAAATCGATAAGTAGGCAACTGTAGGGCCAACTTTAATTTCGAGTCGTCTATAAGCCGCGGAGAGTGTGAAAGAGAATTGCACGAATTGATCCCTTCTTCCACTTTTCATCACTGGGGGACCAGACCTGAAGCTGAGGTTCCACCCCTGTATTCCAAAGATTCGCATGAAGAATTTCGCTTCCTCATTTATATAGCAAACGGCTATTGAATGGAGTTCCCGTTAGTTAGGTTCCGAGAGTTAGGTGTGCATGCTCCATCGTCGACTTTATCGTCAATTTCCACCAGGTGAAATGGAAGTCAAAACCTCTATCAGATCATCGATCCACCTTGTGTGAGGTCTGCCCACACTGCGTCTTCCGGTACGTGGTCGCCACTGGAGAATTCTTTGGCACATCGGCTATCGCGAGTAACGTGCCCCGCCCACTTAAGTTTTGTTTTTTTTTTAGCTATATCGGTTATTCTGGTTCTATTTATGGAGATCTTCATTTCTGATTTGAATGTATAATAATTCTTATTACGGTTATAACATTATTATCGTTATCTTTAAAAAATACTTGTAATTTTGGGTTATACGTTATACCCGATGATAAAGCATATATTATTTTTGTATATCAACAAGGAAACAAAGGCATGGCTTTATTATCAATACATGAAAAGGACCTATGTTACTTGATATCGTATAATGATTGATTATTCATACACAGTTATATCATATTGGATGCGTTGTACGCTTTCTTAGCGACATAACGAGTCCTGTTTCGATTACTTTCCAACTATGGCGTCAATTGTTTGCGTAGCTGTAAATGTTGTATTTATATAAATATTTATAGTAATGACGTGATATCATGTGAATGGTTACAAAAATTGTTGTTAAAGTTTATCAGTCATTTTTAGTAACAAAATAACATTGAAAATTTCTCTCACGCAACATCAGAGACGGACAAGTACCATCACAACAAAGTTTATTTATTTCGTAAATCAAGTTTGAGGTGGATATTTTACGTTTTATTTTGAAGATTGTTACTCTATGCTCAAAAATCCGGACAGTAGATAAAGCGGGAATGTCCGGATTAATCCAGACTATTGGTAACCCTACCCTTATGGCAATACGTCGACCAAGATAACCACAGAACAACTGAACAGCACTTGAATATCCATTGGTTTCTGTATATTTTCAAAGTAATTTCTACTATGTTTCCAAGTTCACATAGGTCAATGCCATTTTCTCACTTCTCCGCACCACGTAGCGGTTTGCGGAGCTGCGTTTTTAATTCACATAATTTCGTGATGGTAAAAAACCAAACCAGCGAAGCGAAATATTACCTTTCTTAACTTGCATCAGCAGATGTATCATGTCAGGCCGAATTATATGTTGTAGCTCCCTGTTCTGCATTGTCTCCAATACCAGCGACCTGAAGAAGTTCTCCACTGATGCCGGGAACCGGCCAAATTTGAATATCTAAAAATATTGTGAAGTATATTTAATCATTATGATTGATACCTATAAAGATCGATCAAACACAAAGAAAAATTCCTTCGATCCAACTGGATCCATAGGTTTCTCACAGATAACGTTGTGATGATGAGACCTCTTTCATCCTCATGCCACCTTTTTATCACTCTTTTCTCTGGATTTTCTTTTCCCTGTTATCTGGGAGCATTTTTATATTCATCATATCAACCGGAAGACGTCCACTACTGAACATAGGTCTGCCCCAAAGATTTCCAGACCAGCCGACCGGACGCGACGTGCATCCATCGGTAACCCGCCGCCCTTACCAGGTCATCCGTCCATCTAGTAGGGGGCCGTCCCACTAAACGCCTTCCGGTCTTCGTGGTCTCCATTCAAGAACCTTTCTGCCCCAACGGCCGTCAGTTCTATATTATTGTATCTGTTTTTATACCATTGTTTTTGTGACAGCTTGTTCCCTTCTTCTTTATTTTCCTTCACCTTTCCCTACTGCCATACCTTTTACAATAAATGATGTGGACCGAGGGTTACTTTCTATCACTATTACGCAAAACACGCACGACAACGCTACAAAGCCAATACAAAGATGTGCAAAAAGCTCATAGATAAGTTGGTAAGGATGCTAATGAACTTTTAGGCACATGGAGTTTGTCGACTTGTCAGGGTGATTGGTGTAACGGCAGTGCCCCTCAGATCTTTGTGAGTTAAAGCTCTGAGTGGCACTGCAATCTTTATCGATGGGCGTGTCGCTTACCACCAGGTGCACGACTTCTTCATACCCTTGACTGGTAGTATAAAAATAAAACCAACGTCTTTACAAAGGAATGCGGTATTATTTTGTCATAATATGCAATTACTAAGAGCGAATTTTGTGGACTTGTCCCCTTAATCAACATTGTTTCAATACTTTTTAATGTCTGAAAAGGCTAATGATAAAAGCAAATAATCCTAACAAAACACTTTGCCGTAACGCTCTTGAGAAGCTTAATTTGTTTTCGATTCCTAAAAAGTCATTGTGATTTCTTTTTGAGAATAACGTAAAAAACTTGTACAGTGATTTTTTTTAAGGTTTCATGATTGAAGTATGATTGTTTAATTTTCAACCCTAATAAAGGGTTTTCTAAGCAGAAAATGTAACCAACGGCGCAAAGTCATGAATGTATTGATAAATAATTAATAGCATATACCAGTTGTAGGTTGGCTTAATCTGTGATACTTACATTATTGTTCTGTGTTGTCATTGTAATTTTAATGTGCAATAAAGAATATTTCATTCATTAATACCGTAAAATGCCGTTTATATGTCTACCGAGGCACATTAATGGGAAAATTTGAAGATACTCACTGCAATTGCCTTCGGTATTAACGTCCGGTAGAAAATATTGATAAGTTGACGGAAACTGAACGCCGCAGAAGAAGCAGTTTTTCCCATTACATAAAATTGGTTGTCCTCATCCTTGTGAGAATCCACTTTTAGACCAAAGGCACAAGATGCAATTACGTCATTCGCGCATCTGGTCGTTAGGTTTTTCACATCGATGTCCAAACAACCCTCTGTAAATAAAAGGAACTATAAATACAGATATTATTAGAAGGTCCAGTAGAATTTTTGGATTTACAAGTGTTCATGATATTCAAAGATAAAAGTAAAAAATAAAAGACGTTCTTCCATAAAAACATCAAATTTCTTTACTTTCTACGCAGAGAAGATATATTAGTATAAAAAAATAATAATTATGCCTCTTGCAAGACTCTAAATGCCAAGCATCTCACAAAATTACTTTTTGTTTGTTTGGAATTTTGATTTTGCCAATCCTCAAAATTCACTTACGTTTAGACTCCTTGATTTTCGTTTTAAGCGAGAGGATCATCTGATCTCCAACCTCCACCATCAGTGGCAGCATCATCTTCATTTTCGAGCTGGTAAATGCAGGGCTGAGAGTTGATCGCATGTCCTTCCATTCTTGACCTGATAACATAGAATTTAAAAATTAAAGATTGTATGTTTTGCACACTTCGGACTACGTAATGGGGTGAACGAAAGGGTATGTCTTCCCGCACGACGTACACTTCCTTTCCTGTAAGTCTGGTTCACCCTTATCAATAATCGGCGAGTACCTTACGCCGATTGACAAAACCGTTCACCACGATCGCAAGTACTTTGCCATTGATACCATAAGAAAAATAAGAATTTTGGATAATTCTAATGTAATAATAGTGATTGCACTTTACTGTACTGCTGCCAACTCACCTCCCAAACCAAAGCAAGCAAGATATTTTTGCTATCATACTAAATGAGAACTGATATTTAATGGGATACTGATATTGGCAGCAGCTGTACTACACACCTTTTAAAGAGAGAAGATTCTTTCCAAAAAACTGATCGAACTCCTCATTAAAGAAATGGTTGTGATCGAGGAAGTGCTCGAAGTCCTTGATGACAATTTTCTTGATTAGCTCGATGTCTCTCACATACACAATCGGCTTGAGGAAACTGAACGTACCGTAGAATCTAACAGAAAATTTTAATATAATAGTTACATTAGTTTATTCAGTACATCGATAGGTTTTTAGTTACGACTATCATAATACAGACATGAAGCGTGGAACATATAGGTATAATATTGTAATGCGCAGCTCTAGTGAGAAACAGTGTTCTATTATACATTGACATGTATTTTTATACTTTATCTTTTTATGTTTGATGACCTCGGTGGCCCAACGGTTTGTGAAGACGTTGTGTGAAGAGGTCACGGATCCGATTCCCAGTAGGACCAATTTGGGAAATGAAAAATTGTACCTGGTCTGGATAGTGCCCCGAAGTAAATTCCGTTATCCTGGTACTCCTAGTTTGAGATCAGGAAATTTGTGTACAGGTGCCTGGTACATTATTACTATTTTTATGTAAATGCATGTACATAAAAAAAGAGACATTTCGAATTGTATACGAGTGCATTGCAGAGGCCGGGAAGTAAGGGATTGATGGACGGAGTGTGAGTATGTTACTATATGTGGCTATACTATAGGCGTTTGCGGCGAATTCGCTAGATCTGAACGCACCCTTATAATGACACAAACACGCGAAACAAACGTCTAAAAGTAACTAAGTGAAATATGTTCGTCTAACGCCCCAACAGAATTTCAGTCGAACGCATGCTACACGACTAAAAAAACACTCACAACCATTGACTTACAAATAAATGGACGACGGGTCTAATACAAAAACCACGAAAAAAATGTCCCAAGTCAACCCATTCGAAATTTAAATTGTTATGTCATCGCAGTATCGCGCTGTCCGTAGAACAAATGAAGACTAAAGCGGAGTGTCGCGCTCTGTATACGATTTTAGCGCCTTACAAGTGCGGACACTTTTTAGCGCGGACCCGACGTCCATATAATTGTAAGTCAATGCTCACAACTCACAAAATTACGTTTAGTTTGACCAGACTGCGTCGTAGCTGTTTACCTTGATTTTTTTTAACATCACATACAGATTAAAGATCTCTGTGATTCGTAGTTACTTGTAACCTTGTAACAATGGGAACATAAAAAATAATTGAATATCAATTCAATAAAAATTTAATTAATACAGTGAATAGCGCCATCTCTCGCCAGGACTGGTAGCTGTAAAGGTACTAACTGGGTTGTAAATCTGTCAAAGATTTCTCATAGATGGCGCTACGACTAAAAAGTCGTTGAAACCAAATACAAAGACACGACGCAAGCACATAGAAAAATTCGTGAGGTCCGTTGGTTCGTTCCGTGGTTTAGTTGGTATAGCGTCTGGCACGCTATGCAAGAAGACGTCGGTTCGAATCCGACCGGATCGAAGGAATTTTTTCTGAGTGTTCGATCTTTGTATTAATAATTATAAACTACTTAATTTTTTTTCTATTCTCAAATTAGGAAATTACCCGTGCTATTAATACCAGAGCAACGGATTTCAATTTTTCGTAACTGCTGGTTCTACTGGGAATCGATTCTGGGACTTCTTAGTGAAAACAAAAGTAAAAAAAAACTAAACTCATTTGGGGCACCGTGTGTCTCTAGAACGCGTGACAGGTTAAAAAAATATGTTAACTCAAAAAATTTTGCACTCACCTTTGATCAGAAAATTTGTTATAATCTTCAGAAAGAACTTCAACAAAATGATTTCGTCGTGTCACAACCTTCATAATAGTGCCAAAAGGCGGGATGACCTTGGGTGTCCTCACGCCTCGCCTTTTAAAGAAACCGTATACTTGCCACAAGTACAAAATTATTGCGGTCACGAGGCAACCCAGCCATATCCAGACCAGCATCTGGAATAATAAATAATTCTACTTTTAAATTACTTAATAAAGAAATAGAACCATTTCTAATTTATCACATTCCCAAAGAGGCAAAGAGACACAGGAAAGCCTTTAATTGTTATTTGATTCTAAAGATAAGATAAGATAAGATAAATTTATTTCAATATGACTTAATCTAATACAATTCTAATCAAAACAATGTAATTGAAGATAAAATATTAAAATAAACAATAATAAACAAAACAAACAAAAAAAATCTAAATTATATAAAATAATCATGGTAAAATTAAACATGTTTTAATCTTAGTGCCTAATAGTGCAATTGCAAAGGCAAAGGTTGTAGAGGTAAAAGGTTTTTAATTCATATTCTGGAATTTAGATGTATTTACAAACATTGCTTTCAAGAAATTACGCAATGGTAAAAGACATTAAGATCAATCGTCATTTGTTTTTTATTTAACATATATTTGAACTTAGAATCGATTTTAAATGCCTAATTAAGAGTCTCATTCTGTTTAAAACGCTTTGTAATAAAAATTACCACTAACTTACAGGTTGTACATAATTACTTAAACCAAAACCTTTACATAAATTTATGTATTATACACACAGCTAAAGTAATATAATTAGACTGAATAAATCGGAACATATTATAAAAGCAAAAATACATACCTTACTGGTTTGAATACACTTAATTTACAAAACTTCAGAGTGTTACTAAACGACTATTATGTTTTGTCGTCCTCGCAGCGATATGTAAGATCAGTGCCACCGACAACTGCTTACTAAACTTTGCCACAGTCAGTAGAACCGCAAATGAATAAAAATGGATCGACTGGGGTATTAATATAAAAAGATAAGATTACAAATCTGTAAAACTGATAATGTTGCACATTATTTTTTTTACATCAATCAAATTGGTAATTACAATTGTTATCTACGTGCCAAATGTAATAAATGTTAAAGAAAGAAGAATAAATTGATACGAAAGGCAAAAGTTGAAAGTATAGTCACCTAAAAACATCGTCGTTAATTCAACATAAGACCACGGAAATCGAAAACGTAAATACGAAATAATTTTCTAAAACTCTACACTCCAATTGGTTTTAGAAGACGTTCATCTACTACCGAGTTAGTTTATATATTGGTACTGAATTCTACTTACTCGTAGCTAGTAGAAGGCTTGTATGTATTTTTCCAGGTGCTCTGTCAAATCAAATCAGATATCTTTATTTAGTAGGTAATCAAATTACATTGAACAAAAAACCACTAGTCATTAGCACGTCATTTCAATTCATCACAAACATTCAATAGCTGGAAGTACACCATGCGTTCGTATCATCTATGCAATCATTGATTTTATAATAAGCTTTTCTAATTAGTACATTTTTAACATGAGCTTTAAACATATTTTCTGATAAATTTTATATAATATCTGGAATTTTATTATAAAAACGTATACAGTGCCCGACAAATGACGAGCTATCTTTATCAAGTCTGAGCATAGGGGTCGCGAGTTTATTTTTGTTTCTAAGATTAAGGTTATGCCTATCACTGTTTTTCAGAAATAATTCTACATTTTTGCAAACATACATTATATTTTCTCGATAATAATCTAATATTATAATGTGCTTCTGAACGATTAAAACAGTAAATTTCATCTTGTTTAGTTATTTCGTTGATTTTTAACGTTGTTTGTTTCATATGACTAAAATTTGGAATTTTTATCAATTAATAAATAGTATTATCAAGTAATAAGTAGAAATTAAAAAAGTAAATAATGTTTACTTGTTTTCATTTAAATAGATGAAAGACTTTTTTTATTGTGTGCTACACAACGTCATGAAAATATTCAATTGTCTTCTCAAACTGAACATGTAAAGTTGCGATCTCACAGACCACACGCGACTGCTTATGTTCGGCGCAAGGGTGCGACCACTGGAAGGTTAAAAGTACACTGTGTGACAATTTACTTCATCGTGTTGTAAGAAGTACACTACCCATTAATACGAAAAACGCATTAAAGTGCATAGTCTTCAATTATTGTGAAATTAAAATTGTCATTTATCTTTTAAAACTTATGACCTTACTCA